ATGCATAATTCATACAATTCTTGTGTGAATAACTAAGTTGTAACAGTTCTATCACTACACTCTTCGTAATTCTAGAAAAAGGCGCAACCATGAACTGCGGACCGTCTTCATAAAGTCAGCTTGATAGATATTCATCTGTTTATCTTTAGGATAAAAACTATTATTGTCAAAGTAATAGAAATTTTGATAAACTGTTATATTCAAATGAAATTGTATATAAACTATTGCTTGTACAGTTAAAAGGGAGACCGTCCTTTATGGACACTGGTCCAGACCGGCTTGAATAAATTGTTCTTCCAAATACTCCGGTGGACTGCTCCTCCGATCGTCGTTGTCAACTCCAACAATCCGTTTGTTTGTCTGCCAATTCCCATCATTCAAAAGTACTGCAACTACTCCGACTGTCGTTGACAACTCCGACCTCCAAGTGCAACTACTCCGACTGTCATTGATAAATCCGACCTCCAAGTGCAACTACTCCGACTGTCGTTGATAACTCCGACCTCCAAGTGCAACTACTCCGACTGTCATTGATAAATCCGACCTCCAAGTGCAACTACTCCGACTGTCGTTGATAACTCCGACCTCCAAGTGCAACTACTCCGACTGTCATTGATAAATCCGACCTCCAAGTGCAACTACTCCGACTGTCGTTGATAACTCCGACCTCCATGTAATCCACCATCTGTCGTTGATATTACTCCCAAACTGACCTAGCTTACCTACCCTGTTGATTCAGGGTCCCTGACTAGGTTGCTCAGTTATCACCGCCTGGAACAATTCAGTCAAATCTACCTGTGATGTTGTAGAATGATTCCTTCTACCAATATAAAGTTATGTGGTCGTATAGTTTTATTTACATTTAAACGTCTGCGTTGTGTCCAAAAATCAAAGCCAATATCCAGTGTTCTTGTCTAATCATCATTCTTGTGGTCAGTTAACTTGATTGCTACTACCCATTGTTTGACAAGTTGAGTACTGGATAATGGTTCTTAGTGGCTGGTTCCAATAGTGGTGCAGAAGCTATTTTAACATCTCTGGAGGCAGTACCATCGCCCTCAACATTAGTTGACACCACTTGATCGCCACCAAGGTATCTTGTGACTATTTGAACTCTTTAATTATTACTTCTCAATTGGCTAAAGACCTATACTTAATTTTTGACTATATTTTCAAAATAAATATAACAATATGCCTATAACGATAGCAACAAAATAAATCAATGCATTTACTAAATTTGATAGTTCAAAGTCGTCCTCAATAAGTTCTTACTGCTTTAATTTGGCAAATGAAATTATCAATGTGTTATCCATGTTATCTATTTTAAATAAGAACAAAAAAAAACTCTAAAGTTTTATGGAAAAAAAATAAGAAATATTTTTTTCTCTTGGAAGGACTGAAAATGGTTTGAATTAGGTTTGACATTCAACCAACACTTTCCTTCCTTTTTCATAAACAAAGCTATGATTCAGAGATTACTGATATTAATAGGATTTCTAAACAATCAACAATTTTTCAGCGATCCATCTGAAGCGAGAATTAGAATGATTAATCAAAACAAAATTATTTTATATACACATATATTTATTTAAAAACAATCATCACGAAGCCTAAGTCTACGTCGTGTTAGTCATGCATTTTATTAAGATAACAAGAAATGTTTGAGAGAAATTTTAACATTAATTCGTCTTTCTTTTCAGACTTTTTAACAATTCGTTTAGTTTTCTTTTGTTTTCTAATTTCATCAACACCCATATTCTGGCTACTTTCTTAACTATATCTATTAGAACTGTTATCATTTGTCATCTCACTTAAACCGGAAGTTATAGATGACCTTATGACCCTCTGTTCTCGTTTTTTTTTAATCAGCAATAAAAGTTATACTATATTCGTTAGAAGATGTATCGCGTTATTGTTTATAACGATTAATCATATGATACTTATTTCCATATATTTAAGTCCTAAATTATTTGTCTTATTAAGATTGTAATCCGTGTTTACAAACCTTACCAATGCTTTATTATAAAAAACATTTTCATTAAAAAAAAACCTTATATTTTTTATCTATTTTTTATACTAGTCATGCATTTCATTTATGCATTATTGATTATACATGATTTTCATATCTTCCTTCAAAAAATATATTATCCTATATTTCATTTACCGTGAAATACTTTAAAACTCAAACCCTAAGTGTAATGAAGAGTGAACAATACAATTGTATCAATTTTTATCATTTATGCGCTATTTTCTGAAGATAGGTCCGCCATTCTTGAAAAATACCACAATAAGGGTTGGTTTTCTCTTTCATAGAAAAATTGTTACTATAGCAACCGTGATTACTCTACCTAACCACTTGCACCATTTTCATGGCTTAGCAACGTATGCCTTATTAATTGTGCGAAAAAAGGTTTGGATTCTAAATAACATAGAATGTTTTGTTTCTCTAAACAAATGTGCTTACGCACTACCCAACTGCGTCAACCATATTTAAACAACCATATGGTTATAACATCGCAGAAATACCCTTTACTTCGTCGCTAAAAGGTTCTTAAATGAAACTTTCTTATACTAGTGTATAAAGGCGCGTATATTCTAGAATTACGGATTGTATCTTCAGAAAACAACTCAAATTATGAATCAAAACAGAAATTATTATATTCCAAATCAAGTTATAATTGTTTTAATCTTATCATTACTCACTCAGTTAAATACTCGTGCATCTTAAGATTTCTTTTACTTATTGTGAATTAATTCTAAAATATTAATATTCACTTGTTTTAAATAATATATTTCTGTCTTTTAATAGACAGCATTTAAAAACATTTTGTCATTATAATTAAAATTTGTACGCAAGTCTTTTATATTGACTTATACAATCAAATACATAATATAAAGTGCCCTCACCTTTATAATGATTACATTAATAAATATCAATAAAAAAATTAAACCTTCACCATTGAATCAGAAAAAAATAAATATCTACATTTTCACTTATGAAATCAACATTATTTTAACAGAACATTTCTTCTGATGAGTTCAGCCAAGTTTACATCTTGAGCATGTAAAATTGAGCTTACATATATTACACCTATACCTAACTTTTCTGATTTTGAACCATCAACACTTTCATTCGAATTTATGCCCTTTTTAAATACCTTTTGAGTGAGACTTTGAACTTGTGTTTCTAAATTTTGGAAAACTAACCTTGCATCATTAAATTCTTTATCAGCCATTTTGAGAAATTAAATAAAGATGATCAATAATAGTCACTTTACCTTAGCATCCTTTGGTCACGGTTAACCAAAAATAACCACTGTGTAATGCAACACATGGTTATTTGGAAGAACAATTTATTCAAGCCGGTCTGGACCAGTGTCCATAAAGGACGGTCTCCCTTTTAACTGTACAAGCAATAGTTTATATACAATTTCATTTGAATATAACAGTTTATCAAAATTTCTATTACTTTGACAATAATAGTTTTTATCCTAAAGATAAACAGATGAATATCTATCAAGCTGACTTTAATTGACATGTTTTTACCAATCTGGTCAATTTATAGTTGTGAATCTTGCGTATGTCCAGTTCATTAACTAATTGTTATTATAACATGTCAGCATATGGCCTACATGTGTACATATAATTTTAACCTTGAATTAAAACCATCAGTCTAAATCTTATTTGTATAGTGTTCTTGATAGATATTTCCCTGTGTTATTTTATTCAATGAATTTTATTAAACATATTAAACATATTAAGAATATAAATATATATATATAAATATATATATTTTGAAGCCCATCATATTGTCACATTATTACTGCTGATTAATGTTGATGTCTGTTGATTGTACTAAATTCTGTTATATACGTTTTTATTATAATTATACCCAATAATCTTGAAAACTTGTAATGAAAACATAATCAACCTACTTGTTTTATACTCATCTAAAGAAAATATTTGTCAAAGGCCATTTTTTTTACCGTACACCTTTTACATTATAATAAAATACATAAACATTTATGAATTACAATTAATATATATCTTTATTTTTATTCCTTATAAATATATTTTTTTATTGGGGCCGGATCGACTTTAAATATGGGCCGGATCGACGTTGGGACGGATCGACTTGGGCCGGATCGACGTGGGGCCGGATCGACATGAAAGCTTGAATTCGTGCACTTTCCCAGATATTTCTTATGTCACAATAGTTTTGTTATTACGTCACAGAAGTACAGATTGTTCAATGAAATCATATCAACCTGTGTAACTCATTCATAAAAAAACAGATACAATTTTGCAAGGATTTATATTCTATGAAAAATCCTGAGGAAAACAAAAATCAGAATATTTTTTATTGCTGCCATGTTGAGTGATTTCAGGGCTTTATAGTTGCAGCCTATGGGATTCACATACAGCAGAACACATAAACAAGCTTGAAATGGTACAGAGGCATGCTGCCCCTATACATGTAACAACTACAATAACACCAGTAGTGTAACAACTATGCTAAACAAACTTGAATGTTATACATGTTATACTTAGTCATAGTTTTGTCTTCAGTTGTTTTTGTTTTCTCTTGATGTGAACACATTTAATAATTTTTCACAATTCAATTTGGTTGAAATACATAGCAAATTTCTGAATAGAAATTTAAAATAGTAAATGTGTTTATCTCATGCGAAAATGACAATGACCAACAACGAAAATACAACAAAATAAAACGGTGACAATTCTGCTTCTATTGGTAATCATGGTAATGTTGGTACCAAGTTGCCTAAAATCAGAAATGACCCAAAAATATGTTTTTGACAAAATGTAAGTTTTATATGAAATATATCATGTATATAGTGAAAAATCCCCAAGTGACGAATACGGCCACACTCTGTATATGTTGAAAATGAAAGTAAAAGTAAATTATTGATATTTACTAAAGCTTGAATTTAATATATATAAAAAAAAACGAAGACATTCACTAAAGTAAACAGACTCACTGACAACAAATTAATAAAAATTGTTAACAATGAACAGCGAAATTCCTCCTTTTTAGCTTTACTGGAGTTTTGAATTGGTGTGAACTAATTTAACTCTTGTGAAATCGAAACTTCAGTCTTTACTTCCGGTTCAGAATGCAGGGGGCGCTCTTCTTAACACGCTCAACTTCCGGATAAAAATCAACAAGAAATTATGGTTATCAAATTATACAGCTGACTTGGCGTTTTTACAACATTTCAAAAAGTTTTTTTTAACATACATGAGTTAACTTAAACTTTTTAAAGATGGACTTTGTGTCCATATTATCTTTAGCCTCTAAAAACACACAAAAACAGGTATACACATTGGCTTTACAAATTTCGCAGTACAGCTGTACTGTAAATTATGCATACATGTTTCTTATTCTTTATTTCGAATATATTGATTAAATTTCAACCTCCGAGGACATAATTATCATATAAAAATCTTTTTCAAGGAGTTAATTCCCAACGGAAATGGGTATGGTACTTTTTTCAACAATGTAAGGCCAATTAAAATTAATTGATAGATTTTCATCCCCGCCCGCCCCTCTCAAATCGTTCCGCCCGAATTTTTTTTATTTTGAAAAATTTACGATTTTCGGATTTTGTTCATTTTCGTTACCGGTAACTGTCGATAATTTCGTTTCATTAATAACATCCTGTTTCAAATTTTGGTTTTTGCATTTCTTTGTATGTTTGATTCGTTATACATGTATATACATGATAGAACCTTATTATTACACTTGCATATATGAAGAACACGTCACAAGAGCGTTTCATATCTAATAAAAAATAAAAAATAAAATCCTCCCACCCACCCCATTTTTTTAAAAAATTTGGATGAAAATCTACTAATTAAATTTACTTGGCCTAAAGGTTCTAACATTAATTTCAGAATGTTCAGGGACCCTACCAATATGTAGGCTTATACTAAATTTACATAATCTAGGCCCATTTACCGACAATTATGTTGGCCCTGGGTCTTTTCACCCATATTGAAATTCAACTCATTTTCGTTTGCACAAATTATTGTTTTGTTTTGTTTCTTCAAATTCTTGTGTTGTGTAATCATGTCTTCATATACACCTTTGCGCTATTTATTCCTATCCGGATAAGTTCTAAAATTACACAACTTTTCAAACCAGTAGAAGGTATCTGGGGCCTTGTTCAAACAATGTATTGTGCATAAAATGTTTCATAGAGACATGTTTAAACCATCGTAAACACATCAAACAAAGCATTTCCAAAGACTTTTTAATTTATCTTTTAAAAATTGCTTCTTAAACTATATAATAATTTTAAAATGTCCACTTTCTATACTTTTTCCTCCCTCATCTCATTGCTGATGACCTTTGTTTTGTTCCGCTTGACCTCAACAGGAAGTTGTTTAAGTAACTGTTTTCCCAGATTGGACAAAATAACAATAAGGTGTATTATATAAGAGTGGCAGAAGGACTTTTTTATGTCAGGATAATTGGGCCCTTATTTTTTCCAGATTTCTGATTAAAACTTATTTGGATTCCAGAATAATTTTGGAAGATCTGGAATAGAATGCTTTATTTTTTCTGGACTTTTAATATTCATCGTTTATTTTTCCGGGAATCTGGGGATAACTGCTCCTTCTGTTTCTTTTCAAATCCTCCTAATTTAATATTGCTCTTTTTTATATGTGTTAATTTCATAGTACGGAAAATTAGTATTACACAATATCTAAAAAAAATCTATAGTAAGCATGACCTCACAACAAATGCACAATGAGATTTCTGCACTTCAACTACAACAGTTGCCACAGATTTTAATTCTGTGTTTTATTACATGTATGTAAATCATCCCAAAGGGTGTTCTGAAATAAAACTATTTCCATCAGATATGTCTGAAATACAAATATGTAATACAGCAACAAACAACAACAACTGAATTACAGGCTCCTGACTTGGGACAAGCACATACAGAATGTGGCAGGGTTAAACTAGTTTGAAGGCGCCAACCCTCCCCTAACCTGGGACAGTGGTGTAATAGTACAACATAAGAACAAACTATAAACATGATAAAAATCAGTATGACTAGTATACAAGCAGATGCCGATAATGAATTCTTTGTTGGTTACAGGGTAATTTACCTACATGTAATACTTTTAGATTAGAAACAGTAAATATATACAATTATTTGGCCTATATGGTTTTACTATATGTACATTCAGTGGCATAAATGTAACAAGTGTTGATGTCCTCTAGTAAGCTACATGCTAACTGAGTCACTGGAGCTTCTCTTGGAAACATTTACTGTGTTAAAGAATCTATCTTCATGATCTTTATCATTTTATTGTATTCAATTCCACCACAAGGGATCCATTTTAAGCTACATTCCATGTTTTCCTATATATCAAAGAAACAAAAGTCATAAATAAGTGTAGAGCTACATGTACCTAAAATTCTCAAGTTAACCAATGTTCTGAAGTGTCATCTATAACTTGGGTAACAGAATAATTTTACATAGCTCTTCACTTAAAAAGCAGACTTTCATTACTATATAGAAAAAAACATGGATTTTTACATCCCTTGTTGCGGTTATTGGTACACATGTAGTAAAGATGAATATTTTAACAACTGATTTAAGTCCTGTAAACTAGCATCTGTGAAGAAAGCTTAAGAAATTTAACATTTTAGTCATTTCAATTGTCAGGTGATTGTACTCCTATTATCAATAACAATTAGTACACAAGTATTTCAAAATAAGTTTGTTTTATGTATTTCTGTCCAAATTTTATATACATGTACATGTGTCATGTTCAGAGATTTAATTTGAGACAATCATACTTTCACTTTCACAACATGCATGTATTGAAAGTGAAATTAGATTGATGTTTTCAAAAAAGACCAATGAAAATATTGATATATCAAAGGTATCATTCATTGGTACTATAGTTTGCTGTTTGTGAACTAGTTTTGCTTATAAGCATTTAATTACATTAGATACATGTAATTAGTTACTTGACTGTAAAATGCTAAAGAAATGATTTTGGCCTTAAGAATGACATTTAATTTTCAATATATTTAATTGTAATTTGTGTAAATGTATGATTATGATTGGTCAGAAATCTATATACACTGGCATGGGCCACATAGCATGCATAGATTAGGAAAAAAACCCAACATACAGCATGTACAGTGTATTATTCCAAGATATCTATTTTTGCAGAGACAGACTGAAAGGAGATTCAAAACTGATCTTGATGCACCTAAAAAGGAACGGAAAGATAAAGATGGTAGACCAAAATCAGAATTTCTTCAGAAAGTTAAGGAAGAGAAAGATCGGGAGCGAAAAAGAAAAGGTTAAAAAAAACATATTTTAGCAGTACTGCAAAAATAATTGTAATTGTTGGCATAGGCCAACTAAATCAATGATGTTGATAGGTACATTGTTTTCAGTTATGAATAGTTTCTTTAAAGGACTCATCACACCTCAGAATATTAGATTGAAGTTACATATAAATATACCAGGTGTATACTTATGTCGGCTAAACAAAAATTGAAAGATATGTTGGAACCATGTAGAGCTAATTTATCGTGTTTGTGTACTGTTGTTTGTCTTTTGGTTGGTTTTTCGTTTTTTGTCATGTGGTTGTCAGTTTGTTTTGACTTATGACTTATGTCCCTTGGTATTTATTTGCCTCTCTTTTATATTTATGGTACCATAGTAAAATGGTGAGGGTTTATATATCTTCAGGGTTTCCCCTTAAAAAAAATAAGGAGATGTGGTATGATTGCAAGTGAGTCAACTATCCACCAGAGTTCAAATTAAGTGGATGTAAGTAATTATAGGCCACAGTACGATCTTCCAAAATGAGAAAATCCCATACCATTTAGTCGGCTAAAGAAGTCTCTGTCATGAAAAATGTGCAACAATTCAAACAAGAAAACAATTTACGAAAAACAAATATGACCGAAATTAACAAGAAACAACCACTGAATTACAGGCTCCAGACTTGGGACCGGCACAAAAAGAATGCAGCGGGGTTAAACATGTTCGTGTGCACTCAACCCTCCCCTATTGGCCTTACCTTGGACATGGTGTAACAGCACAACATTAGAACAAACTGTTTAATCAGTTGCAATAGGCTTGACTCAAAAGATCAGTACGAGGCACAAAAACAACTTACTGTGAAAGTACTTTTATTCATGGGGTACCAATTTTCATGGTTTTCATGGATGGCTTTATCACCGAATTTCAGTGTCCAACTAAATATAACAGCTGTTGTCCAAATGAAGACATGGAAATATCCCTATGTAGGTTTGACTACAAGGATAGGGGCATATAATCTAGATAATACATTGAATAGAAGCAAACACACTATGAACTATATAAACAACTTCAGACAAGTTTTTTCCCATTTAATCTTTAAAAGTCTAAACTGTACGACTTTTAACCTATTAATTCTCATGAAAAAATAGTTTTGATCGATGAAAGTCAGACTTCCGGTGATGATATGGGATGATGAAATGTTCATTTTATCTCCTTATAATTCTCATACGAAAAAAAAAAATCATATTGTGCTTACTTTTTTTATTTCATAAGAATTAATTCTTATTCAAAGTACATTTGTGGCATTTTTTATGTAACTGTTTTCTTTAAGTGACATGTTTCTGGTCCAATTAACACCTTTGATGTTTTTAAACTGTTAATCATTCGATCTCAGGTTAATTAGTGTCATCACTTCTGATTACACGTGTGCAACAATTAAAATGTTTACTTTGCAATTTCCTTCAATCACAACAATTTGTAAGCATAGATAAATCAGCTTATTTCTGAAAGCAATATTTTTATAAAAATTTGATGAATGTTGTAAGTAATGAAAGACGATCAAGTAAGTGAAAATGAACACTTATTTAGCAGTGTCCCACAAATCAATATAAAACAACAAGTTTTTTTTTCAAGAAACTTTGTTTCTGATGGCTTCAAATTCTTCACTCGATTTTTTTTCAGAAAACTAAAATCCACGATTTAAGAACCCACGAACATGAAACCTTTGCTTAAACCACAAAATTGATACCCACAAATAAAAGTACTTTCACAGTACATAAAAAACAATAGATACAAAGCACTGCAATAAGAGTACTAACAGTAACCATGGTTACTGAAAGCTAGTTCAAAGCCAATTACAACTAATAAATAGATCATGTTCTCCCAGACTAAAGTATCAATCAGTACACATCCAACGGATTGGTAATTTAAGGAGTAAATATTGCATATAGTTTTTTAACAAAATCAAGCAGTGAAGTGATCTTTTTTTAGAACCTATCCAGTCAATGTCAAGCAATTTATTAATGATATGTTATACTTAGACATTCAAGTTACAATATGATGTGTATTTGAACTACCATACTTGTCAAGAAAACTTTTTTTAATTTAATGCATGCCATTTAAATCTGTTATCAAAATAGATCAAAATAGGTTCAACTTTAAATGAACAATCAAAGCCCGCCACATTCTTTATGTGCCTGTCCCAAGTCATGAGCTTCTAGGGCAGTGTTTGACATTGGTTCATGTCGGTCATATTTGTTTTTTTTTCATAAGTTGTTTGTCATAAATTAGACCGTTAGTTTTCTCAATTGAATTGTTTCATATACATGTATTTCCTGTCTGGGCCTTTTATAGCCAACTATACGGAATGGGGTTTTCTCATTGTTGAAGGCTTTAAGGTTGCCTATAATTGCTTACATCCAGTTTATTTGAACTTTTCTAACAATTGTTAAACATGTACACTGGTTTTGGAACTAAATTGTATTTTTCTTTTTGAATGTAACTCTTATATTGTCATATACTAACACTAAGTTATCAGACAAATCAAGCCTTCTTGGGAACTATCATCTCTATGCTGTTCAGCCTTGAAGTAGGTTAACACACAGGTTTATTCATAATAGAAGTTTAAAGAATTGTCACTATTTATATCTAAAACTTGCTGTAAATTGAACAAATGTTTGATGGTCCATTTTCTGTTTCCCCATCATAAAAAGGTATAAAAACTGCTTATTTATACTTCAGATTTGTTTAAAAAAATGAATTAGTTCTCCATGTGTGAGAGGGGAGCCATTCAAACAAACACATTACACGAAAAAGATGGCTATTGCGTATTTTCTTGATTGCTGTCAAGTCGCTGTAAAGGTTTTGATAACACAAGCAACTGATTATTGACTCTATCATTTAAAATCACATGACACACTGTACTTTGTTATCAGTACCCTCCATGATAGGAACCAAAAAATGGTTAGGATAAATTATTTCGCCAGTTGTTAATCAGGACAATTTTTCAACAAATTTTTTTGTTTGGCTAGTTGTGAATTTGGTGACCATCAGCGGAAATCTTGCATCTTGACCATCCATAGGTCATCTTAATCAGGGAATATTTAGAATCTTTTAGCTACACATGTTACATGCACATACAAAAAATGTAAATATTTTTTTCAATTTACCAGAACAGATATTTGGGATTTCCATAATAAAGCATGGACTATCTTACTTGATCTTTAAACTTTAAGAACCATGTTATCAAATTATTATGTTAGAATTATCCTTCTTTCTGAATCAATTTTTTATTTGATAATTTTTTTCTCCCTGTAATATTGATAGAATTATGTTCAAATGTATTTTTCATGTTTTAAGAAATGGATGAACAAAGAATGAAAGAAGAAGAGAGTAAAAGAAAAATAGAAGAAGAAAAAAAGAAAGTTTTTAGAATTCCAAAGAAACCTCGTCCTCCAGAAGAAATCACAGATCAAACAGACAAAAGTTCAAAATTATCTGCACAGGAAAAACTTGAGAAAGCTAAAAAATTAGCTGCAAGTTTTGGAAAAGCTAAAACTGTTGTTTCCTCATCAAAGTCTGATTTAAATAGAAGTTCATCAGTAAGTGACAAAAGTTTCTCTAAACATAAACATGATAAACCTTCTCATTCAGAGCAGAGAAAAAATGGAAATGACAAACATTCAAATGACAAAGATGTTTCTAAACAGACAGACAAGAAACCATCAAATGACAAAGATGTTCCTAAACAGATCGACAAGAAACCATCCTATAAAGATAAGTTAGAAAGAATGTCAGACCAGGAAAAACTAGCAATTATCAAAAAGATATCAGGGAGTCTTGGGCGTGTAGGGGATAAAATATCGGATACAGAAAAACTTGACAAAATAAGGAAAATTTCCGAAACAATTGGAAAGGGGTCATCAAGTAATAGTGACAAGAATGAAAAACCAAACGGATCTCAGAAATATTCTCCTCTTTCCAGTAAAATAGACAGAGATAAAATGACAGGAAATCTTGAAAGTCTTCAGAAAATAAAAAGAGAATTTAAGGAAGCTGAGGAAAGAGTGAATGGAAAAACTATCACAATGCTTGGCAAAACTGATGAAGGAATTAAAAGAGAAGTAATATTTGACAGAACTGATGCTGAGAAAATGAGATATGCATTACAAGAAAAAGCAGCACGAATAAGAGCCATGATGAACAGACCTGAAGAACCTAAACCAAAAGAAAGAAAAAAGGGGAAGGACAAAGTATCTGAAACTGAGGTAAAGGGGAAAAAATCAGAAACTTTTAAAAATGAAGATGATGAAAAAAGGAAATATTCTGATTTTAAGAAATCTTCTAGTCATTCCAGTGATAGTAAATACAATGATAAATATAGTGATGATAGAAGTTCTGACAGATCTTCTAGGGAGGAAAAACCTGTTAAAAAGAAAAAACCTCCACCACCACCATCAATGAATTTTAATGATTTGTTAAAAATTGCTGAACAAAAATCACATGAGCCTGTCAAAATTGAAGTAATTAAAAAACCAAAAAAAGAAGAGGAACGATTATTGACTAAAAGAGAGATGGCATCTCAAAGAGAATATCAAGAATATTTAAAAAATAAGAAAATACGAAGAGAGGCTGAAATTGAAGAGAGACAAACTTTGGATGTTAAAAGAGAAAAGCAAATCTCTAATTCATTAAAAAGTAAATCTACATCAAATTTTGTGACAAAATCAGCAAGTTCGTCACAAAATACTGCAAGAAAAAATCCTTATTCAGAAAAGTTAGTGACTAAATCTTCGTCGCCTGTGCCTAGTTCATCTAAAGTGTCATCAAGTAACAAGTTAGGAAAATCAATGTCATCTTCTTCAATTCCTTCAAAACCTTTTACAAAACAGTTCAAACTACACTCAGCAACAAATTCTCAACACAATTTAGACTCAAATCCAGCAAAGAAAATAAAACGTGAGCATATAGAAAATGAAAGAATTTCCCAAAAAGAAGAGTATCGGAAGAAATCAAATGGTGCTAAACGAAGTAATTATGATGATGTACGTGAAAATGTGCTAGTGTGCGGGCCACCAAAGAATGAAAAACCAGTTTCTTCCAATCCATTTGATAGAATATATGGAGAAATAAAGAAAAATCAACCATCAAAGCCAGGTAATTAAATATAAACACCATTCATAAATGTAGTAAAGCACACTTTTTACAACGGTAATTCAGAACATAGCAAATGGTTGGAAAAGTGTCCTTACAATGAGCAATGATTGGTAAGTTTAGTTGCCTAAATTAAGTCATAATTTTCATTTTGATGAACATACAATGAAGTAAGCCATAGTCTTTTGTTTTTAAAACAGGGATTTTATGTCTGTCATATTTGGTTTTTTTTCGTAATTTGTTTTGTTATAAATTAGCTATATATATATAGGCCGTTAGTTTTCTCAATTGAATTGTTTCATATTTTTCATGTCAGGGCCTTTTATAGCCAACTATGCAGTATGGGTTTTTCTCATTGTTGAAGGCCGTACGGTTGTCTATAATTGCTTATATCCACTTCATTTGAACTTTGGTGGGTAGTTGATTCATTGGCAATCATACCACATCTCCTTATTTTTATATTATACTATAATTAAAAGAAAGCTTTGGTCAAACTGTATTTGTCAATGCAACCGCAACCCAGTAACAAAAAACCCAAAAAATGACTATATCGACATAGGTCTAGATCTTCAGCAATACCTTGTGACAAGTTCTAAATCGCTTTGAGAGTCTCAGTGAATTTAGATTAAGATCTGAATTAATTGAGCAGAAACTATCAGTCATATGCCAATACCACCAAATTTCCAGATACAAGTGATTGAAAGGTTCCTGATATGGACAAAGTAACAAATGGTTTGGTTAAACTAGTTATTTAAGCACGCAACATTCCCTGATAATGATTAAGGTCTTTATTAGTTGAAGAACAAAAAGTACTTAAGAGAAAAATAGAATACAAATTAGTTTAGAATAAATTCCTTAGAGTTCAATGATAGCGATATAATAAAGGACAAAACCATAGATACTGTAAGTCAGAAAGGAGTAGGCCCGGTAAGACCCCTTTTTGACCCCAAAATATAGCATTTCAAAAATTTGTTAAACATGTAAACTTTTAGCTATTTATTGGAAAGAAGAATACTTTTTTTACATAAATATTGGCTGTTTTTGACAATACAATGCACATGCATCAGGTACAAGCATCATTAATTCATGCAAAATTACTGAGATCTTCACAATTTTAGCATTTGTTTTTATTTTTAGACAGTTTTTTGTTAAAATGGAATTGGCCGCACTTGTGTTCAGTCTTAATATTTAAATATATGTTGTATTTGATGATGATACATAACATATATAAAGTCTGAGACTGAACATGAATGCAGCCACTTCCATTTTAGACAAAAACTATGAAAAGTGACGTTTGTGGCATATTTGATAGATTTTTATATTTATACTTGAATTAAGGCATCTTTAATGAACAAATCTGTTCAAATTGTTTACATAAACTAATTGAAATGACCGAAGGAGACACTTAAGTGTTAAAAAAATGTAAAAAATCTTTCATTAGATTAACTTCAAATTTTAGGCCAAAATAAGCCATTACCGGACCTTCTCCTTTGTGCTTACATTTATTATTGGGATTGTTAATCAATGCAATGGACACAAATGCCAATTTAATTATTGGGATTTCAAGGAAAACTGCATAGAAATAATGCTATCAAAATTTAACATGCAAATTTATTTTTGAGAAACTTAGCCCATTGCAATTTTCACCAAAATTTCAGAATTTACAGTTCATGTAAAACACTATTCAACATTATCAAAGAATGCTCAAAATTACTGAAAGTAAGGTTAAACCTAACCTGCTGATACAATGTATGTAAATCAGCCTATATGTAGTATTCCCTTATTAGAAACTGTTCTTTGGAGTTTCTAAAAACTACAAACCAGAACAGTAAATACATGTAAGTACTCATTTCAATGCAGCTATAATGTCAATAACAGTCATGACAGTGCATTACTCTGACTCTCAATCCTAATATGATGATGATGGGAGTTTTTAACGACCTTGACTGGCTATACAGCCCTCGCACGGTCGGACTTCTTAATATGAAAATAAACCAAGTTCTTTATAAAGAAAGAAATAACTGACATGTTAAACATTGTTAAATCCATGATGAATGTCAGAATCTGAATTCAGTTGATTTCTTGCTTAATAAGAACTTTACCATAAATGTCATATCATCATGATCATGCATATGGAGTTATGGACAAATAAAATACCAGCTATTTTTTTTTAATTCATCAACAACACTAGAATTCTGAATCAGTTTTTAAGTAAGGAGGGTAAGGCTTACCTTTCAGCAATGTTCAGTTTATTGAAGGAAATGCAGCACTTCAACATTGTTCAAGTTGTATTCTTAATACAAGAACACATAGTACAGTACACATTTGAACATTGTGTGTGAACAATGCTGGGCATTTTTTTTTATCTCTGACATGCTGGAACTTCAGATCTCTGGACAGACCACCTATTGTGATCAAAGTACCAGGTGGCCATAGGTGTAATAAAATTGTCAGATATTAATTAAGTGCGATAGATTAACAACTGGGATTATGACAGGTAAAACAGTGTAAAATTTCATATTCACGAGTTTTAAGCAATTAAAATATCTTGTTGGTAATGTCATTGTAATGTTTACAGTTATCAGACAGTTTTATAATCGTTATCATTATTACATTTATTATTTTTACCCTAAGATTTATGAATTATAAATATATACATGCAATAAAGTACTGACTCTTTATGCCTATTTTTTTTCAGTGATCAAAATAATTAGAATTTATTTTATTTTTTTCTGAAGTAGTCAGTATAGTTTTAAATTGTCTGTCATTGAATTAATGGAATGTAGGACAGAAAGTCACAGGATAAAAAGTTAAGGACAAAAAGTCACAATTCAGTTTTGAGATTATTTTTCCTTGAATGATAAAACACTTATATGTTTTTAAAACATTTTTGTATTTTTCTTTGAACTATTATATATAAAGCAACATTGTAAACAAAATTTATTCTTAAAGAAATCAAAAATGGTCAAATAATTGTTAAGAAAAAAATATTGTCTTAATTGGCTTGGTAGTCAAATGGCTTCATGGTACAAAGAAATATTACCTTTGCATGAGTAACGGCATGTAATGTGTACATTGGTGAACATGCAATTTTTTAGTGCAGTCAAAATTGATAGACATAATTAGAATCGAAATATGAATATTTATAGATACATGTACAAGATATAATACTTAAATTAAAGAATGTCAAAATATGTATAGCAAAATTTAATTACCTGTCAAAAAAAGGTGTGTTAAAGATCATCTGCCTTTGTGGTCCGTCTGTTATATGCACCGAAAGGGTTTGCATCTCTAATTGTTAAATTTATGCTTGTACAGTTATCATTGACATTTCTTCCTTGTTGTCAAGCCTTTTTTGTTCAAGTTGTTATGTGTTACATTATGTACATTGTAAAGATTTGTTCTTAATTTCAAAGGCACTTGTCTCTGAGAAAATACTCTTTATACCTTTACAAGTTAATTAATAGTATTTATGCATATTTGTTAGAGACAATTGTGTGCGTTAGCTTAATTTTCAGAATCTTCATAGTTTTTATGTCAAATTAATGACATTTAGATATGATCAAAAAGAAATAAAAAAATTTAGTTTTAGAAATATGCTCCCATCTAAAGATGTCAGATATCTTTTTATACGACCGCAAAAAAAATTTTGTGGTCGTATATTGGTATGACGTTGGCGTCGTTGTCGTCATCGTCGTCGTCGTCGTCCGAAGACACATTGGTTTTCGCACTCTAACTTTAGTTTAAGTGAATGGATCTCTATGAAATTTTACCATAAGGTTCAATACCACAAAAGGAAGGTTGGGATTGATTTTGGGGGTTATGGTACCAACAGTAAAGGAATTAGGGGCCAAAAAGGGGCCAAAAATAAGCATTTTTGTAACTTCCAGACATAACTTGTGTGTTAGTGTATGGATCTCTCTGACATTGTACCACAAGGTTTCATATCACAAAAGGAATGCTGGGATTTATTTTGGGGGTAATTGCCTCAAAATTTTAGGAATTAGGGGCCAAAAAGGGGCAAAAAACAAGCATTTTTCTAGTTTCAGGACAATAACTTGTGTGTAAGTGTATGGATCTTTCTGAAATTGTACTACGAGGTTCCATACCACAAAGGGAAAGCTGGGTTTGAGTTTGGGGGTAATTGCCCTAAACGTTTAGGAATAAGGGGCCAAAAAGGGGCCAAAATAAGCATTTTTCTAGTTTCCAGACAATAACTTGTGTTCAAGTGTATGGATCTCTCTGAAATTGTACTGCAAGGTACCATACCACAAAGGAAAGGCTGGGATTGAGTTTGGGGGTGATGAATCATAAGGGGGTTCAAAAAATTTGGGGGGGGGATTTTTTTTTTTTTCATTTTTTTTCTTTTTTTCCTCTTTTTTTCTTTTAAAATTTTCCATTTTAAGTTGGTTATTTCTGATTTATATTTAAAATTAAATATTAATGATATGGTAGGAGATACATACCAAACAGGATGTGTAAATTATTATATAATAAGTATTGTGCAATAGCAAGAAATTTTCAATTGCACAGTATTGCACAATAGCAAGAAATCTTCAATTGCACAGTATTGCGCAATAGCAAGAAATCTTCAATTGCACAGTATTGCGCAGTAGCAAGAAATATCCAATGGCACAATATTGCGCAATAGCAAGAAATTGTCAATTGTACAGTATTGCGCAATAGCAAGAAATATTGAATTGCACAGTATTGTGCAAAAGAAGATACTTCGTATAAATTGCTTATTTCTTGACCAATTTCAATGGGGTTTTATTCTTGAGTTCTTGGGTTTTTTTAATATGCTGAATCTAACCGTGTATTTAGTTTTTGGATTTTGGACCCCGTTTTTAAATTGGTCCACATTGAGGTCCAAAGGGTCCAAAATTAAACTTTTTTTGTTTGATTTCATCAAAAATTGAATTATTGGGGTTCTTTGATATGCCGAATCTAACCGTGTGTTTAGATTCTTAATTTTTGGTTCCGTTTTCAAATTGGTCTATATTAAGGTCCAAAGGGTCCAAAATTAAACTTAGTTTGATTTTAACAAAAATTGAATTCTTAGGGTTCTTTGATATGCTGAATCTAAACATGTATTTAGATTTTTGATTATGGGCCCAGTTTTCAAGTTGGTCCAAATCGGGGTCCAAAATTAAACTTTGTTTGATTTCAACAAAAATTGAATATATGGGGTTCTTTGATATGCTGAATCTAACCATGTATTTAGATTTTTGATTTTTGGGCCCCGTTATCAACTTTGTCCACATTGAGGTCAAAAGGGTCCAAAATTAAACTTTGTTTGATTTCATCAAAAATTGAATTCTTGGGGTTCTTTGATATGCTGAATCTAACGATGTATTTAGATTTTGGATATTGGACCATAACAGGTGAATGTCCAATTTAAAATTTTTAAGTTCTTAGACCACATTCATTCTGTGTCAGAAACCTATGCTGTGTCAAATATTTAATCACAATCCAAATGCAAAGCCGTACCAAGCTTGAATGTTGTGTCCATACTTGCCCCAACTGTTCAGGGTTTGACCTCTGCGGTCGTATCAAGCTGCGCCCTGCGGAGCATTTTATTTAAAGATACTACTTGTTTTAATATGTGTATCAGGGGAGGATCCAAGATTTTAGGTTAGGGGGAGCGCAAACTTAAACTTTAAAATTTTTTTTGAGGTAAAATTATCGAAATATTCTTTATTAAGCTGAGGACAACCCATGCTTTGCAAATTTTAGGGGTGCACGCCTGCCATGCCCCCGCCTGAATCCGCCCCTGTGTATTAATTATCTTTTCATTTTTGAACTTTTAAGAAAATTATTTTTTTTCACTATTGAACTATCAGACATGTCTCTTAATTAAACTTTGTGAAAATATGAAATTCTTCAAACGTTCATTTAGTGTGGAAACTCATCTTTTGGAAATTATGGGCCTGGCCTAACTGCATGTACATATACATGAATTTAAATTGACAATTTCTTTCAGAAATGATTTTCAGATTCAGTCAGTTTATTGTATATTTAAAGTACTTCATTTTAGTTTATACATTGAAACAATTGCAACAACATCAATAGTATATAATTATAGTCCTCTTTGAATGTGGAAATCCAGAATTGTCAACTTGTTGGGGGTGTTTTCTGGAAGCTTTAATAAATACTAAATGATAAAACTTTGATAGTTAAACATAGAGTGTAACTAAACATGCTAAAGATTCTGCAACTATTATCAATAAGTTTGATGTAATATTTCTGTTATTAGGACAGTTAAATTAGTTAAGGAGAAGGTTTGAATTGATAAGACCCCCATTTTGGGCCCTGAATCTGTAAAAACCTGCCAAAATAGCCTTATTTTGATATCTTGAAATCTATTTTCATATTAGCCAAAGCTTTACACAAAAAGATAATTTTTGATTTTCTGTAATGATTTTGACATTATCATTAATATGAAGTCAATCTTTATCTTTCCTTTTCTTTAATCTGAAAAAAAGATGTGTTCTTTTAATGTGACACCATCAGGCATGGTAACTTTTTCTTGTGACAGAGTGAAATCAAAGGAAAGCAAGAAAATTGACTTCATCATGTTCATAATTGAATTTTGCCTTGTAAAACTGAAATCAAGGAACCACACACATTGAATATTTAAAAAAAACAACAGCAAAAATGGTCACGATGAAAATGTGTATGCATGTACACAGAAATATTTCATTTTAATTGATAAGGCAGAAAACATATTGTTCTTAATTTCATTGAAGTGTATACAGAGTTTATTGGAATTCATAAGTCACAAAACATATTGCTTTTAACATTGTAGAATATTTGAATACTTGAACAACATAGAACTGTTTATATTTTGCAGTGAAAATTCCTTTTTTTTCTTTCTTAAGGTGGTACCCAACACCTTGACTAATATTAATTTGGCTCGTTTAATTTTCATAAAATTTTGACAAAATGTTTACTTTGACCCTTTGACAAAAATATAAAAATTTCAAAAAATTTGAACCAACCACTTTATCAGAAAAATTTCGTTGGTTATATAGCAGTTTGACAAACACTAATTTTGATCATTGAGAAGCTTAATATTTCCTTAACAATACAACGTAATTAAAACGTTTAGCTGATTTTTACAGAGTTATCTCCCTGTAGTGTTAGGTACCACCTTAAATGTTAATAAAACTCTATATTCAAAATTAATGTTTTTTTTTAATTTTGTATTTAAACTAAAATTTGTATCAATTTCAAATTTGATGTTTATTATTAAAGCGAAGCGGAAGCATCCTGATGAATACTCAGATTCAGAAGACGAATTTGATGGGGACCTGGATGGATTTGTTGTGGATTATCTGTCGTCAGGGGAGGAAGAAGAAATGGAAGGCTATGACAATGATTATGAAGATTATTCCAAACATATCAGGAATATATTTGGTTATGATAGGCGAAAGTAAGTTTTTAAAGAATCTGACATGAAAAAAAAGTTGTTAGTTTACAAATGTATCTACATGTAACACAAAAGATCTATATATACTAGCTTGCCTTTGTCAACAGTGACTCTTAAAATTTGCATTTCACTTTTTTAAGCTTAAGCAGTAATTTATGTTGGTACCAACACAGATCCTCCCAACTTCAGTTAGCTCATGATGAATGAAGTCAATTAAACCATTCAGTTATATTTTTATGATATTTATATCAGTAGACTTAAATCTTATTGAAAATCTTGTATATTTAAATTTTTTATGTAGCAAAAAAGTGTCTTGACCTTCACCATATGTTCACCGAATTCATTATCAATCCTTTTATCAAAAAAATCTTCTCAAACCTTAACATTTTATGCCTTTACTAAATCAATTTATCTAGCCAATGTTCTGTTAATTTTCCCGATGTCGAAACAAGTTTGAGAGGGGATATAACATATAGTCTTTGGTTTTCTTTTTTTCTGGTGAGGATTTGTAAAATGAGGAGTAATCTTTTGTTAGTCAATGTAGTATGTATAGAAGGTCAACAAATGAATTGAATCACTTCAATGTGCATTAATGTTTTAAATAAGAAATAAAATACATAAGAAGAGAGGGGATTTGCTGTTTATGAAGGTTTCATTGCATTGTGTTTGTTTTATTGTCATTCACCTGCATATTTTTTTTCTTAGTTTTTTGGTGCAGTATTCCCCCTAATTTTAGAATTAGTAAGTCTTGCTATCATACTTTTGATGTCAACGATTGTAAAAAAATCCTATGATAATGCCATTAGATATAAGAAGATGTGGTATGAGTGCCAATGAGACAACTCTCCATCCAAGTCAAAATTTATAAAAGTAAACCATTATAGGTCACAGTACGGTCTTCAACACGGAGCCTTGGCTCACACCGAACAGTAAGCTATAAAGGGCCCCAAAAAATTACTAGTATAAAACCATTCAAACGGGAAAACCAACGGTCTAATCTATATAAAAAACGAGAAACGAGAAACACTTATGAACCACATCAACAAACGACAACTACTGAACATCAGATTCCTGACTTAGGACAGGTGCAAACAAATGCAGCGGGTTTAAACGTTTTAATGGTACCAAACCTTCACCCTTTTTCTGAAATAATAGTGTAACATCACAACATAGAAAGACATACTATAAAATATCAACTGAAATAGCTTAACTCAATCAAAGGACATATTAACACCATTGAACATACACTGAACAAATAAATTTGACCTATGACACAATGTAAATACAAAATAAATAAACTAAGGGAAGAATAATAAAAGTAACATGTTATATCGGTAAGAAATGTTAAACAATTAAAGAAAAACAATATGCATTACTTATTTACAAAATTTAATCTCCCAATGTAAAATTTGTGCAACAACTATCAGTCTGGCTGTCTTGTTTAGCTAAATTTATTAGATATTGTCCTATAAATTTGATTGCCTTGTTTCATATTGTCTTTCTTTGATGAACTTTGAATTTTTTCTAGAGAAAATGGTGTAGATGGACAATTTTTTCAATTTAATACCTGTTTATGTGATTTTTGCATCAACCAAGCATAACATTAACTTTTCCACGAAAAACATTTTGGCAGTTAAAAATTCTTGATCTGAGAAATTTTGCAGACATCATGAAGAATGTTATATTGTTTAAAGTTTGTTTTTTACCTAACTGATATTGTCAATATTCCAGTGATCAGGCTTAGTGTCACAAATTAATTCTGTTATTTGCTTTTGATGTACATGTGTGAAATGTCAACAGTATATGTGCATTTTTAATAAAACGTAAATGTGTCAATCCTATATATGACATCACATGGTTCTTTGATTGCATGCTAACCTTGAGTGACCTTTAAAATATTCCCAACATCAAGCAAGCAAGAAATTTTAGTGTGTCAAATTTTGTATAATTTAGATGTCTTTAATTTTATATTAACAGATTTAAGTATGAAAGTGATTATGACATTGCAAATATGGAATCAAACTTCAAGGATGTCATGAAAGAAGAAGCAAGAAGGTAAGAACAGTATTGAACAGATATCTGGAATTAAAAACATCACAATTATATTTATAATCACATTGCTGTCAATATAATGGAATTCTATGCGACTTTCATACAAATTAGAGGTTTAGCTAGCTCTAAAACCAGGTTTAATCCACCATTTTCTACATAAGGAAATGCCTCTACCATTTGATAAAGGAGTTTCCGTTTTGAATTTTCCTTGGAGTTCGGTATTTTTGTTATTTTAACTTTTATCTGATTAAAAATTAGATTCATTATTGAAAATCCTGCAATATTTGTGGGATTAAAGCATGCATTCATGTATTTTAAATTGCAACGAAAGATGCAGAATGCAAGACATAGGGATGCTTCTATGGCAGCAGCTGTGATAGGGATGGCTTAAACTATTTGTATAAATATTTATTCTTGGGAAAGTAGAAGACCTAGATCCTTGTATGCAAATGCCTTATTACGCTAGAAATTTTTATCATCATTGTCCTTGACCTCACTCTTATGGTTCAGTGACTGTATAGTTTTTCTAAGATACTTTAAGGAGTAGGTCAGCTATATTTGGTATATGGAATGATCTTGAGGTATTGGTCAATGTTAAGTTTTTGTTGTTAGATCTGTTTCTCAGATACTATAAGCAGTAGTTCAACTTTAATTTGTTGTATGGTGTACATGTCCGTCTGGAAGGTTTCATTTCACTGTGACAACATTTTCATGGTTCATTGGTCAACATTGAGTTTTCATGGTTATGTCTGTTTCTCAATGACTTTAAGATGTACATTTCCATCTCGTAGGGTTTATAAGACCTTGACTTCATTTACATAGTTCAGAGCACTTGCAAAGGTTATCACTCCTTGGAAAATTGAAGAATCATTGAATCATGAATAGGGTTAAAGTTCTGATGTGCTTCTTTAATTTGTCTTTTAAGAATTAGGTAATGATAATTAGTTATTGGTTATAAATTGTGTTTGCAAATTTGAAAATCAAATTGTACAAATGAAATGGGCAGCATATTCAAGATGGGTTCATCAATAAATGCTTAGAATAACAGTTTCACTTAATAGCTTTCATTTATTGCAAATATCTGTCATCACCCAAAGTAGAGTTCTTAAATTAATTAAAATCTTTCTTTTTCTTTTATTCAAATCTCTATTTGTTCAGAATATTTTGAAAATATGGAAATTTCTACAAATAGTTATGAGAAAATTGTATAGACATTAAAAATTAGGAGATATTAGATTTTGACACATATAAGAAAAAGAAAAAATTATTTTGTTAAAAATTAGTCTTGCTAGTGTTGGATGAAAAATGACAGATTTTCATGTTTATTTGCATGTGCTCCCATATTATGACACTGTCATTTTTTTATTATTTTTTTTAGGAAATTAAGCATCCATTTGTAATATTACTAACCAGAATGAGTTAAATCAATAAAAAATTTCTGAAAGTTTACATGTATTCTCACTTTTGTTACATATTACAGTGCAAGGCTTGGTATGCAAGAGGATCTGGAAGACATGAAAAAGGAAGAAGAAGAAATGAAAAGAAAAATGGCAGGAAAGAAAAAGAGATGATGAATATGAACATTCTTTTATTTAAAATTCAGATAAAAATCAGGTGTTCTAAATATGATGGTAGAAATATTAGAAAAAAGTATTTAACAGAGGTCTTGGAAATGTGTAGGAAGTGGATAACTATTTCAGATTAAAAATAAGCTGTAATCTGTTAATGTTGAAAGAAGAATTATCCATTTGTTTAGGAAAGTTACAAATATGTCTTTAAAGGAGTTGAATGCCCTTATGAAATGATGCTCTGTAACATACAAGGGGAATGTTAGTATTTTTCACCTCGACACCCAGTGTTCCTTGATGACATTAATTATACAAGATTTACCAGCCTTTAAGTCTTTGTACTTTACAGAACCGCCTTTGACTTCATGTCAGCATACTGTAGAGCTTTATAAACCCTTAGAAACCATAAGCAGTAGCTGATAAAATTGTAATTGCTTTGAACTAACCATAGAAAATTTTCAATTTGATGTTATGATATTGTTCTTAATACAGGCACATTTACCCCTGAGTCTGATACAGCACAAATAACACATATAAAACACTAACTAGTAAAAATAAAATATCTCAAATGTAGTATGTTTTAGTTTGTAATTGATATGTTCAATTACTAAAATAAAAATAATCATTTGTCCCTGGACAAATTGAATTTTTAGTTAAGACTCTATTGGTACCTACCCTTAAGTCTGATAGCAAATATCCTACTCAGGGTCACCAGAACAACTGAATAAAACATTGAAAAAAAGGGTTTTTAAAGTGGAAAATATATAAAAGGCCAGTGATCTCATATAAGTTCTTGTCAGCATGTTAAAGTTTTCCTAAGTTGGGTGTGAAAATATTTACATATTGCATCTTTATTAGAATGAAAATAATTCATTGAAAAAATTTGAATTTTCTTATTATTAGTTTTACTTATAATTACTACACAGCACTGACCAGAAAACCCCATAGGTTCAGACATGAAAGAATTGTTAGAAGAAAAACAAATTGTAGGATTTTGCCTGTGGAAGAAAATCTTTATTTTCTCCTTTAGCCATTGATTTATTTAGTTTATAACATCCTGTTAATCCCTGAAAAAATACATTCTGTTCACCCCTAAATAAATACTAAATTTAGATATTTCTTATCTTATTAATAAACAAAACTCTCATTTTTATTTAATAACATTCAGAAACTTCTATTTATATTATCAGTTTCAAGAATATGTCACAAAATGAATTTTATTCAGTATTAAATGAGTAAACTATTTAATTTCAATTACTTCAGAGATGAATGGAAATCCCCTTTGACCTACAAAAATGTTGAATTAACTCCTTACAGTTCCATTGCATGGTTAAATGAAAAGGAGAGTGTACGGCATCTAGCAAAAATCTAGCTCAAACTGGAGCTAGGGGACTGTCCTGAACTTGCTGTGAGGTGTGAGCTATTGCTCTGTGATGAAGGTCCTACTGTAACTTTTAGATGAAGTACAGCAATAAAAGCACTGTTACTTTCCTTATGGTTTTGTCAAATGTGACCATGTGTCATAAATTAATACACCATACCTCTTCTTTTCCATTGAAACTGAAAAATGTTTTCATTAATGTGTTGCTAATATTTGTATTTTATAATATGCTTGTGATAAAAACAAAATATAAATATGAAGACTAAGAATGGATTGTATAATTAACTATATTGTATCTACAAAAAGCTTATTTAACAGGAAAATGTATGTTATTGTGGATTTTGAATGTGCTGTTATTCAAGTTACTTGGATTACTGCAGCCTTTGTAAGAATCAGGCAACAATGCTAAAAAGATAAGGCATTTCGCAGTAGGCTCATTGTTTACCTTTTGGGTTTTTCCAGCTCTCCATTGTTTGAAATTCAATTATTACATTAAAATTTGAGCTGTTCTCTATTTTTGCGAATGTATATGCAATCTAATGATATCCAAATGATTAAAATATCATGATTTTAAGCTTAAAAAAAATTTGAAATTTCAAAAATTGAAATGCAAACAACATCAGAGGTGGATTTAAGGTTTAAAGCAGGGCAGGCGGTATGGACCCCCTTAAAGGAGCTACATATATGGTTAATGCATAGACATTTTACAAGTCCCGCTCCTAATGTTGCTTTGTTCGCGGGCCCCCTTTATCAAATTCCTAGATGTGGATCTGAACATGCATCTTTAAAAATCCACCCAGATGTGATATGACTGTTACAAAACCTGCTGGAGGTTAGAGGAGATATTAAAATTAATTTTATATTGCCTGGTTCATACAGAGAATTAATGTTTGTGGATTGAAATGTATATGTATGCATGTGTGTGTTTGATTTTGTCATTCTATAAGAAGTAAAAACTTGAAAAATTGTAAAATAGTTGTTTGTTGATTTCACATATTTATTATACTAATTGTTACATATACAGGTTGTTGATAATATTATTTACTGCCATAGTACTTCAGTGCATTCAAATATTTAAAATGTGAGTAAGTCAAACTTAAAGTTTTCTGTTGTAAGAAAAGGATACAGATTTAAATATTGAAAGTTTGTTAAAGAGAAATTGTTTCATAATATGTACATTAAATATTCATCTAATAAAATTCCATGAAAGATTTTTTTGTAAACTTAAACCTATTTTTTTAAACCATTTAATGAACAAATCTTTTTCACAACTGAGACTTCTGATAGTTAGATTAAAAGTAATTTTTATTTCAATTTTTGTTCATTAATTATACTCTTAAAATATTTATCAAATAAGAGGTGCAAGCCTCTTTACAAAGGTTATGACCTACTTTAGCTTTGATTCTAGATGATAAAAAGATTTGATATGAAGAATATTGCTGTCTTTAATGTCATTTTTGAAAGTTCATGAGTTAAATTTTAGTGTCCTTTACTTTAATACAAAATTAAAGTTAAATTTTCATATTAACATCATTTCTAAAATCTAGTATCACTTCTTTTTTGAGTTGATATAATCATTTACTGGATCTGAAATTAGCTTTACATTATTAACAGAACATGCAATTGCAATTGTTATTTGATCTAGTATCATGTGCAACATTAATTTTATTTGATTGTCTTCCAGCATTGTCTAGTGAAAAATGTTTCTTCAAATTTTCTGTATAAACAATTTGTATAAAACATGATCAAATTCGAAGGTTCTACATTTTAAAGGCTGTGACTGATAAACCTTTAGCAGTGGCTCCATTAAGCAATTCTTAAAAAGGCATTTACTCTTTTGCTTGATATGACCAAAAAATGTTGAAATGTTTTTAACTAAAAAGGGTCAACTTGTACTAGAATTCTGTTTAGAAAAAAATAATATATATCTTATGATTCTGTTTTACATCAGAGATGACTTTCACTCTGATCATAGTTTCACTAAATACTGATCAAGAAAATTTTAAGAAAACATACAGAAGCATTTATATCTGTATGGAATATTTTGTTTCATTTAAAGAAGTGTGTATGCAAAATTCTATATGTCATCTGAATTTGCTATTATTTGATTATAACTTTTTGCAAAATTGTCAGTTTATGATAGAATTTTAAAAACATCAATTATATATTTTATGTATTGTATTTGGTGTAGGCTATTGGAAGGTGCTATTACATATATAAAACCTGTAAGGATGATATGATAAGTCAAATGTATCATTTTCATTATTATGTTATTCCAAATATTGTGCAATACTTATATTTTGTGATTAATGATTATTAATGTGATTAAACATAGAACTCTGTGATGGTTAGAATAGAATTAGTTTTTTTGAAGTGGGTTATCAAAAGTAGTAAGGTTTAGTTGGTCTGTTTAATCATAAATATCAAAATTAGTGTTAAATTAATAATAATTTTGCATTTCAGAGAAAATTATAAAGATTAATGTCAGTCTGTTGATACTTTAAGCTTGTCAATACAAAATACATGTTTTGTCTCGCCTGTGACGAAAGTAGCAGTATGCAAGACATAGGTATTACTATCCGTTGGCAGCGTAAACTATTTGTATAAAGCTTTATGTTTCAGAAGGTAGAAGACCTGGATGCTTCATACCTTGTATGCAGATACCTTATGTTATGAAGTTTCCATCTGTCATATGCCCATGGTCCTTGCCCTCATTTTCATGGTTCAGTGACTGCTTGAAAAAAAATTACAGTTTTTTGCGTGAATTTCTCACTTATTATGAGTAATAGGATAACTATATTTGGTATATCGGTTCCTTGCAATGTCTACATGTCCGTCAGACAGGGTTAACCTGACCTTGATCTCAATTCATGGATCAGTGATAAAGGTTAAAGTTATGTGATTAGGTCCGTTTCTCAGATACTACAATCAGCAGGTCAACTATATGTGGTGTATTGAATGATTGTAAGGGGTCCATGTCAGACTGGCAGGTTTCATCTGACCTTGACATCATTGTTTATTGGTCAATGTTTAGTTTTTGTGTTTTGGTCTGTTTTTCAAGTACTATACACAATAGGTCAACTATAATTGGTGTATGGAATGATTGTAAGGTGTACATGTCTGTCTAGCTAGTGTCATCTGACCTTGACCTCATTTTCATGGTTCATTGGTCAATTTTAAGTTTTTGTGTTTTGGTCTGTTTTTCAAATACTAATAGCAATAGGTCAACTATAATAGGTGTATGGAATGATTGTAAGGTGTACATGTCTGTCTAGCGAGTATCATTTGACCTTGACTTCATTTTCATGGTTCATTGGTTAACGTAAAATTTTTGTGTTTTGGGTCTGTTTTTCAATTACTAAAAGTAATGGGTCAACTATATTTGGTGTATGGAATAATTGTAAGGTGTACATGTCTGTGTGACAGTTTTTATCTGACCTTTACCTCATTGTCATGGATCTTTAAAAATGTTAAGTTTATGTGATACTTGTAGTAAAACCTTTATCTTTAAGACTTTCAACATAAAATCAATGGTCAGTAAAACAAGCGAGACATTTCAGCGTTTGCACTCTTGTTTTTAGTAGGAAATCCTTTTTTCCAAAAATGTTGAATTTTAAAAATTTACAATTTGCAAAAGTGACACAGTTGAAATATCAAATAGTAACACAAGTTGGATAACTTTCATGAATTAAACATGAATTAAACACCTACAGGAATACCTTAAATTTTTTTAATATAAAGCATTTTAACAGAAAAAGCAGATATCCTGATTTTAAAAATGAAATCAATAATATCAGATACATCAACAAAGTCTAGAGAAAAGTTGGGAAATTGAGTTTTGAATTTGTTGAATTGAAAGCTTGGCAATGAATTCCTTAGCCATATTAAATTAACAAAAACTAATTAAACTGTTGATAAGATAAATAGATCGAGTAAAAATTACGTTAAGCAGAATTATTTCCGTGCAGTGTTCACCAAAATTGGAATTAATTGTAATTTAAATATTATTTTGGAGTCCTCATAATGTACTCTGTCCATTGATTATACTCTTTTATTTAAGTAAACCTGAGAGATAATGATGTATGTGTTACTGCAATAGTTTTCTGAAACAATACAATTTTATTATTATAAAAAAAATATTAAAATTTTTCAAAATTTGACAACAAATGTTTTTTTTTCAGGCTTCAGCTACTACTTACTGTAAATTCAGAAATTATTGCGATGTTTTCATTAATACAAAATAATGACAGTATCAGGTTCGCAATAATAAAAACTGGCATTCATAATTTCAGTAGTGATCTTCCTTCATAAACATTTTTGCAATCCCATTAATAAGTTTTTCATATTTCCCAGTGGTCAACGATTCACAATAATAAACATGATAAATGCATGCAAAAATTTCTGAATTTACAGTCTTTTTTAATTTTGTTAGAATTCTGTTGTAGCTTTTTAGCAAAAATCTGATCTTAGATTACTTTTGGTATAGAGATTTTTGTGATAAAAACTGAATAAAGTCTCAAAAAATTTTTTTTCTTGGAATGTGTACTTAGAAATGTGATCATTTATTAGCATACAACTTTTCTGTTACCCTGAATGTGATGATTAAGTGCATTTGAACTTAGACATTTGTAATACTGCTCAATACAAATGAGAAGAAGTAACTTCTTATCAACAATGAGTAAGAAATGTAATGAATACTTTTACCAGATTTTGTGTCATTATATAGTTGTGACTTTAAAGTCGTTTGTATCTTGCGACCAATATCTTTAATGAATAATGTATGTTTTCACCTTTGAATATTTAACAATAATCATTTTTTGAGAACAATTGTGTGCATGTATTTCTCATAAATCAAGTATTTTTCATAGACATATAAGATTGGTTTTTGTTTAAAAAGATTGATTAAGTCATTGATTAATATATTTTTGTATAAATGTTAGAAACACAGTAAGAAAAAAAATGTTTCTTTATTCTTGTACTCCTCTTTTCTACAAATTTTGCATGAATTCTGTATGAATGACATTTTGTCTTTGTATTTTGTTCAGTTCTATCAAAGAGTTTTGACACCATTTACTGTATCATAGCACATGTCCATTACAAGCATAGTCATTGCTAAAAAAGTAAAGAAGATCAATGAAAATGGCTCAAGTAGAAAAATAAGTTAAATCTTAATAAACAAATGTATAACCTTGCCTCATTAAGAAGGAGGTATATAGTATTGCAGGTGTTTTTCGATCTGTCTGCCTGTAATAGGAATAATCCTGTTCTTGGAAGCTATTGTTAAATAGCTTTGGTAGTACCATGATTTGCTCAGTGTACCTCTGAAAAAACATCCATTTTAAAGAATTTACAAAATAAGCAAATTCTTTTTCAATCATAGAAAATAATTTTTTAGGCATTATGGTTTTCCTCTCCTTTTTCCAACTCAATTGTCAGTTTGCTTTTGTGGTACCATAATTTGCTCTGTGTATCTCTTATAAAGATTTGATATGGTATTATCTTTTGTAACTTCTGAGTTTTTATAGAATTTATAGAGTTAAACAAATTAATTTTATTTTTTTGAAGTTAGGATTTTTCTTCTTTTACCAGTACAAGTTTTTATATAAAAATAAGAAAGTATTTTGTATACTCATCATTGATTAATTGTAGAGCAAAAGTGAGAGTTAGTTTTATTTGAGGGGCAATTAAAAGGGTATGTGTTAGTTGTAATGCATTGAAAGAAATTTAATATTTACTGTAATGTTCTATTAAGGATTTGAATATGTGATCAATGTCACAACACAACAATTCTTCAATCTTTCATTATTTGTACATGTTTATTCATTAAATATTTTTGTTGATTATGTAAGTTATTTGTTTTTCATTTTCGTTCTGCATTTTGTCTCAAATAGGATACTGTATTTGCCTAAATAGCTTTTTACATCCTCTTATATAAAAAAAACTCAACAACATCAGAACAAGAGGCCCAGTAGAACTTGATTGCCATACCTTGTGTTTTGCTGAATGTATTGATCTACAATTACATATACTCTCTTCGGAAGAAATTGATTTTGCTGTGCTTATCAATGAACCGATACATGTACTTGACAAAATTCCAGCAGGGAACTCGCACATTATATTCGATATGAACTGTTCAGTGGTTTTCATGTAAAAAGTTCTTGTGTACAAGTTTATTGTATCTGCAGATACAACTTGATGTTTGTAGTGGTTGTACTATTGCTTACTTTATTATGTAGCTTATTTCTCTTTGTCTTCTAGCTAACATCACATGTTTGCTATGGACTGAGATATTCCCTTCCCACGTCCTGGATAATACAGTATAAATTTATTTCTCATAAAAAATGAAAACAACACATTATAAATTTCATGTGTTCTAAGTGCTTTTCTTGATTTACCTTCATCAGGAACATATGGAATGCTATTTAATCCCTATTAACATTATATATATATGAGAAAAGAATCATTAACAAAGTGCAGACTGAATTCTCAGACCCCCTCAGATAAGCTTTCCTTTCATATCTGACCCAATAAACCTTCTCAGAGACTGACAATTTCACCCTTGGATGTCTGAGATTTTCAAAGTCCTGAATTCTTTCTGGTGTAAGAATTTTAATACCTTTCATTGTTGATGTATTTTTTTTTACTGAAGATGATTCATGCACTAACATGACAAAGATAGTATGCGTTTCTCTGTTTTATTGTGGAATACCATATGATAACAAATTCTAATTTCTATTACTCAAACCTATACACAGAAAAGCTTACGTAAACAAGGTTTAAGTAGAACCCAAAGATCAAGTTGGTCTGAATTTATACTGCAGTTTGAAATAAATGATAGATCACAGAGTCACTATGATGAAAATAAATTTCAGGTTGGTTCATATTGATAAATATAGATTTACAAGAGGCTGCATGGATCTTTATTAACTGACCCTTAAGTAGATATTAAGCACAAAAACCTACAAATTAATTGATTGTTTAACCTGTTTGTCTCTGTTTCTGTTTCTGTATGAATACGTTGTGGATACAAATACTTGCTTTATTACAACGATAGAGAGAGCGCCGTCGATTTATTGACGATGCACGAGAGCAGTTTTGAAGCTCTCTACGCTCGATGCGCGCACTACAGTGTCTTCAAGGTGGTTCCACTAGATCACTGTTCTTACGAAAAATGAGTTAGAATATGGTGGTGTTTTGCATTTTGTGTTGTTCTTGACTTGTTTTTCCACAATATTTATTGTCTGATAATTGTCAAATTTCTTGGCAGTAATTGTTCTTTTTGGACGTGCTTTTTTTAAATATACGTCTGGTTCTATAGCAGGATCAGCCCCTCAACCACCTTGTTCAGAAATATTTGCTTCTGGCTTGAGCGTCGTGTCTGTAGGTCTTGTAGTTCCAGTTTGGCAAGCATGTTTGAGACGCAACCATTTTCTCTGGATTTGTAGTCTCCTGTTATAAATCTCGCAGCTTGTCTCTGTATTCTTTCAAGCTTGTTGATGTTCGTAAATGTGTAGGGGTCCCATACTATTTCTCCATACTCCATTGTTAACCCGGCCAGTGAAATATATGCGGTTTTCTTGCATTCTGGTGGGAAATATCTCAAATTCTTTCTCAGGGAGCCTAGTGTTGAGTTTGCCTTCTTCGCTACGTTGGAAATATGGGTAGTCCATTTTAGGTTTTATGACATTTGTAGGCCCAAGTATGGGTTATGTTGGACTTGTTGTAGAATATGTTTTTATGCTTAGAATGTAGCATTTCTTTGCGTTGAACCTCATTCCCCAGTATTTGCCCATACTTCTAGGTTCTTGAGATCTTCTTGGAGGATGTCATGGTCTTTCTGTGTCTTTATCGATCTGTATAGTAGGCAGTCATCTGCGAAGAGTCGGACTGAAGATCTGACTGCGTCTGGGATGTCATTTATATGACAAGAAGAGTAATGGTCCTGGGACTGTACCTTGTGGTACACCAGAGTCGACTGACACTTCTTCAGATTGTTCTCCTTCTACTACTACTTTCATTTTTCTGTTTGTCGAGAACATATTTAGCCAGCTGTTTATTGGCCTTCTTATTCCATACAGATTTTTGAAAGATCACTGTCAGTCCTGGTGTTATTTGGCTTACGCATTCTTCGAGAATTCTGTTAAGGATTCCATCTGGTCCAGAAGCTTTTGATGGGTTTACGCCTTTGAGCAGTTTGTCGAGTCCATTTTCAGTTATAGTGAGGTTAGTTATGGTGTCCTCAATGTGTTTTGTTGTTTCTGGTATGGTTGTGGATTTGTCTATTGGAAATACAGATTTAAATTGTTGGATAAGTATTTCTGCCTTTCCTTTACTGTCGCTGATGAGTTTGCCTTTGTTCTTTAGTGGGGACACTCCAATGTTGTCATTTTTACGGGATTTGATATACATGTATTTCCAGAATAGTTTGGTGTTATTAATTTCTAAACCTTTTAGTATGGTATCATTGATATATGTCCAATCATCTTTCCTAATCTGTCTCTTGATTTCTTTTTGGAAGTACCTATAATTAGTTCAGTTTTTTGCGCGCTTTGCTTGTTGGTAAAGTCTGCTTTTCTTTTTAAATAACTACCTTATTTTGAATGTTATCCAGGGGAGGCTGATTTTTTAGCGGATTTCTTTGGATGGTATGTGCTTGTCCATGCTTTGGTATAATTCTTTTTTAAATGTGTCACTCATGCCTTGCACATTTGAGCCTTGATTGTACATCTGCTTTATCCTTGATGAAGTTTTAGTGATGTCTTCAATTAGTTTCTCCCAATTTTCCTTTGAATAGATGTAGACTTTACTTGGTTTACTGCGTTGATAGTATGGCTTAGTGTCACAATCTGTTATTACCATTTCGTGGTCTGATATGCCTGGTGCATTTTTTGATGTTTTTACTAGAGACGAATTTGAAGTTAGCACTATATCAAGAAGGTTGTTCTCTCTTGTTGGAAATTCATGGATTTGGGTAAGTTGAAATGAAGCTGTTAATTCCATGAGATTTGGATTTCTTTGTCATTTGCGTTTGAGTTTACTGTTGTTGTTTCCCAGTTTATATCTGGACAGTTGAAGTCTCCTGTCAACATGATGTTAGTGTTGTTGGATGTTGCCATGTTTAATGATTTTTCCAATTCCTTTATGCAATTCATGTTTCGGTGGGGCATGTAAAAAGAGCCGATTAGTAGGTCTTTTTTTTGTTTGCCTTTCAACTGTATCTTGACCAATTCAATTTTGCAGTTTGGGACTAGTTCTGGTTGTTCCACTGTTATGATGTCGTTATGGACTAGTATGAAGACTCCTCCTCCTAGTATTCCCCTGTCATTTCTGTAGGCTGTATAACCCTCTGGGAAGACCTCGCTTGATTTTATGGCGTCCTTGTTGGGATTTTCCCCGGGTTTTTCTCCTTTTAACCATGATTCTGGTCCACAAATTATGTCGGGTTTGATGTACCTTACTGCTGCTTTGAACTCTGATGTTTTATCTTTTATGCTTCTGCAGTTGATGGTTAAAATTCTCAGGTTTCGTTTTTCTGGTAAGTTAAAGATGTTACTACTTTGTGTTCTGCTCTTGTTTTTAGAGTTTTGACTGGTTGTTCATTGTTCTGATCTTTGGGCTGCTGGTCTTTAACGGGCTAAATATGCTTGATGATATTGATTCAAACGTGATGTTATGTGGTAGTGGTTCATAATAGTTCGATGTGTTTAGCTCGTAGTTATGGAATGTAAAGGATGACACATTTATGCTGTCGCATTTACAGCATAGCCATTGAACATTTGATCTTTCTAGGAGTTCATAGTCTGCTGTGCACAATTCAATGCATGATCTGCGATGCCATATGTCGCAGTCGTCACAGCATACGCCCTCACATTTCCATGTTACAGGATGGTCACATAGTCCACATGGGTAAACGCTTTGTTGTTTTTCTCTAGGACCTGGGTTTTGTTCGATGTCCCCTCATAGTAGTATGAGGAGTATTACAAGGTGGTGTTTTGCATTGGCCGTTATTTGTAGTGTGATTGGTCTTCTACCCGCACATGACTTGTTGCTTTTTAGTGTTGAAGTAAGCGGCTGCTGATGTTTCCATGATTTGTGTATTGTAAGGTTGATTCCAATGCTGTTAAGGAAACTAAGTATCAGTATTGTAGTTACTAAATTCATATTTCTGGTTTGGTATTTGTCGTTTTTGGTTTGTTTGTGTTTCAGTCTAGGTTTAGCGCGGAAGAGCCCGTACTGACCTAGAACTGAAGACACTTTAATTTACCAGTAGGTTGAGTTTTGATTTAGTAATATAATGTCTTTCCGGAAGGTTTTGGTAGAATACTATCATCAAACTTTTGTTGGCTTTTATGAAAGGGGAAGATTCTATATTTGTTCTGTAGCTTGATAATAATGAGTTTTAGCCTGTAAGAAAATTTTAACATCTGCCGTGTAGCTGCTTCCTATTTGTCGATAGTTTTAAATTTTACAACACTCATTGTACAAGGAAATTTTTTTTGGCCTCTATGAAAGGAATTGATTTTATATTTAGTCTGCAGCTTGATAATGTTGAGTTGTAGCCTATAAGCATTTTTAAGATCTGCCGTGCAGCCACTAACTGTTTGCAGATAGTTTGAAATGGTAAAACAAGGAAAATATTATATTTGGCTTGATAATATTGAGTTGTAGCGTATAACCAATTTTTACATCTGCCGTGCAACCACTTTCTGTTTGCCGATAGTTTAAAATTTTATTCGTGTGTTACGGAAAAGATAATTAATCACCCAGTTCATTTATAAGATTTTAGTTTGGGTCAACTAAATTTATACGATGTATTTGGTTAACAGTTTGATGTAGAAGAAAT